CGGGCATTCAATTTTGCGAGGGTCTGGACAATCCGACTGTACCTGCTATTAAGGATTTTGTCCTCGGGGTTCTTGCGGAGCTCCTTTACCATTTCCCCCAGCTTCGCATTCTCATCAGTAACCTCACCATTTAATTGCTGCAGTTGCTCTTTAATCGTCTCCATGGCTGCTGCAGACGGACGAAAGTCGTTAGCATAACCTCTGCAAATGTATTGCGTTTGAGAAAGTTATGCAGTTATTATGGCTGGTTGCATAACAAATTGCGGGATGCGAGGCGAAGTGCGGTCTTGCGTACTGCTGAAGTCGCAAGTCGCAAGTTGCAAGTCGCAAGTTGCAAGTCGCAAGTCGCAAGGAACACGCATAATTTCTATTATAATATTCTATATACGCGAATATGTACGTGTGCATACTCAGTTTGTAGAGCGGATCTCACAATGGGAGAAGTATTGAACCGTTACTACTACAGCAAACAAGTGCGCGAACGTGTTTGCCACCTCTATTTCGACGAGGGTTACACGCAAGCGCAAATAGCTGAGGCTTTCGGGCACAGACCTTGCGAGAGGACTGTGCATGCTATCATACAGTCCTACGTGGCGAATGGCGATGTCCTGCCGCTTAGAGGACAATCAGGAACACGCAAACCACGCAAGTTTGATGAGATCGCTGCACAGACGCTGGTGGAGCTGGTGCAGGCCGACGACCAAGCATCGCTCTCCGATCTGGCCACCGCTATGACAAACTTACTGGGCACTCTTTGGAGCGGCCCTGATATTAGCCGTGCATTGTCTGAGCTGGGTTCGTCCGCAAGAAGGTTTTTACCAGGGAATCAGTTCAGCTGGCATATCGCGAGCTTGTGTGACAATATGTTCAAATGGCCCAGAAGCCTCCCACTCTGTAACAATTCATTTCAATCTCGTGAGCTTGTGCGCGCGCGCGCGCGTGTGTGTGTGTGTGTGTGTGTGTGTGCGTGTGCGTGTGTTGCAAGTATTTGACCGTGCCTGAAACTGGCCAGGGACTGCTGCCCAGCCCCAACAGAAAGACCACCTAAGCTCCTCCCGCAGACAGGAGAGGGGCGTAAGGGGCCTCTGTCCCCTCCTAGGCAGCCGAGAGCCGCAGGTCCACTAGTTCCGCTCTCCTCCCCCGGGGGTCAAGGCTCCGTCACGCGAGTTTGAGCACTGAGCCTGAAACACACAAGAAGACTGGCTCTTGGGGTGAAGGTTCAAGAAGACCGAGGAAACCCGGAAACCCTGTACAGACCCTACCCCTCCCTATTAAGGCACCAGGCCCTAATAGAAAGCTCGGTCTCTCACCCGATTCTCTGATGCTTGCCCACAACTGACCAGGGGGAGCGGGCAAGGTTCATTGTTCGTGCTGAAATCCATAATGACCACCTGAAATCGCCATGCCCCAATGTTTGCATCAAATGCTTATATGTTTCCGGTTAGGCTGTTGGGAGTTAGAGATTAACCAACCTAATGGCCATGAGTGCACAGCGTGCACCTGCAGGCTTTGTGACTGCGGGGCGGTTGAAGACAAAATGCATGTCTTTGTGGAATGCCTTGCGTACACGGGCGAACGTGACCTCGTGTTTCAAGGGTGCAACATGCACACCATTATGACCGAGGCCCCACCCCTGGCACTAGCCAGGTTCCTCTCGGAAGTCTGGGACCCGGCATGTTGCTCCAAGGCGCTCCGTGCTCAAGCGGACGAGGGTGGACGATGATGGTCCACCAAAAACCGCCCTAAAAACGATTTACCGCCCATGGGCCCCCCAGCTCTTACGGACACCCCCACACTTGTGTGGAACTTGTGCGGACTAGGCTAGTTCCTATCAGTCCACCGCCGGGGCTAGGGATGCCTCGAGGCAGTGTGGTTGTTACAGTGGGCTCCAGACTCACAAAGAGTACAGCCAGCGGGCCAGCAGGCCGTGCACTGCACCTGATACGATGAGGGCAAACAAGACTCCCACCCAGACCAGACAACACAAGTCACCTAGACATCCAAAAGCAAATCCAAGGCAGGGCAGGCTCAGAACCCGCAACCACAGGGGAATTTGCAATTAGACTCCCCGATTGGCGAAAGTCCTCGGAACCCCACCAGAAGGCCCATAAGCAAATATTGCTAAGAACTTGATGAGATACATTAAGCAAATACTGATAAGAACTAGATGAGGCCTGAGTGAGCTTGTGCGTATGAACAGCTACATTGCATTGCTCAGACAGCTACATTGCACTGCTCAGACAGACGAAGCCACATAGGCCGCAAGCCACTTCAGCATAGTTACGCCTGCGATCGGCCATAGCCCGCAGACGCGGACGCCGCANATGCTATCTGTTTACACCCTACAGGCGTGGTTCACGTACGTATTCGCGTATATAGAATTTCATATAGAAATTTTGCGTGTTCCTTGCGACTTGCGACTTGCGACTTGCGACTTGCAACTTTAGCAGTACCCGCAATTTGTTATGCAAGCAGTC